TTTGTTTCGTTTTTTTGAGACAGGGTCTCTCTGTGTAGCCCTGGCTGTCTTGGAATTTGCTCTATAGACCAGGCTGGCCTTGAATGAACTGAGATCCTCCAGCCTCTGCCTTCGGAGCGCTGAGATTAAAGGTGTGTGTTACCACCATGCCTGGTAAGTTTTGGGTTGTTTTGAGACCACATCTCATATAACCCTGGCTGACCTCAAATTTAATACAGCAGAGGATGGACTTCAACTCCTGATAACTCTTACTTCTGCCTTTCCGGGTGCTAGGGTAACCAGTATGCATGTGTACTACCCAACACCACATCCCCAACAATTTATCTCATGGATTACTTAGAGCAGGGATCTCACTGTGAAAGAAGCTATTGAGGACACATGTATGCATGCCTGGAATAAGACTATGTTGTAGGGGAGGGGCTGCTTTAGACATTTTGAGAACTGGTCCAGGCTTCCAGGCAGGTACAAAACAACCACATCACATAAATGCCAGCAGCCTTCTCTGGAAACTTATGATGGGCCTCCCTAGTTCCCTATCCCAGCTTCCTTGCATACAACTTGACTCTACCTCCTAGGCAAGAACTGACGCAGTTGCCATCGGGAGACTGGGCTCCCAGGCCAACCAGCTATCTGTACCAGGTGGAGTTGCTCCAAAGCTGACTGCAGTGTGACCCCTGTGGCTCACCTCTCCCACTCCTCCTCGGCCTCCTCAGCAGTGAGTGTGCGATGCCGGGCCAGCGGTGTGAAATTGTACCAGTTCTGCACAGGGAAGGCCTCAAAGGCACCATCGGCACACTGAGTGAAGATGTAGTATGCTGTGTTCTCTGTCACTCCGCCTTTCTTTATGCCCTTGAACCTGTGGAGAGGCTACATCAGGTCACAACTCTACCCACAGGGCCTAGCCCCTCCTCAACACCCATCTGGGCTCTCCTAGGAATGCCTAGGACAGAAGGGCACAGGCCATCATCTCCTTAGCTCAGATCATCACTTGGTCACCATATGACCTATGGCCCCCATCCTCAAGGCTGCTGTTAGAATCTGGGCCATGCTGCATGCACTGTATGCCCTGCTCCCAGCCTATAACCCACCATGGCTACTGTGCACAGAACACTTGTCACTGGCTCCGTTAGACTCTACCTCCTTTGCTATGGATCACTCTCTCCCAAGGGGACATCCCAAGTGTTATGTATGAGCTCACCTCAAGGCATACTCAGGCTGCTGAGCCAGATCAACAACACCCAGTCCACCTTCAGATCAAACTTTCATAAGGGAGATGGCACTGGCACCCTCCCCCCCACACACTGTGCTGGGAACAGATTCAGAGAAGATGGCCCCCCAAAATGTGCATGGATGAGGGACACAGGCAGGCCCCTCCCACCATCAGCACCACTCACTTCCTGCCTGATTTGCCGTTGACCCGGAGCAGCCAGGGCTGGTCCTCAGGCCGGAACTCCTTCAGGACAATGCCATACTTCTTCCGTCTCGCCTCTTCCCGGAGCTTTCTGTTGAATTCACTGCCTGCTCCAGATTCTGGCATCTCCTCTTCCTGGTAGATCTTCTTGTTGCTCAGATCTCGCTCTAGCCGGGCCTGAGGAAGCAGCAGGCACAGCTTCTCAGGCCCCCACAGGAAAACCTTTCTATCTCCCTCTGCTGGATTCCATATGCTCCCAGTATGAGGAATGGAGTTTGGATCCCAAGTACCCATGAACAAAGCTGGGCAAGGTCACATGCATCTGAGACCCCAGCAGGGAGGGACAGACAGAAGGATTCCTGGAACTCACTAGTCAGCAAGCCCCAGGGTCAGTGAGATATCCTGACTCCAAAACTTATGCGGAAAGTTCTGTACAATGGTGCTGCCTGCCAAGCCTGAGACTTGAGTTCAAGACCCAGGCAGGTGAGAACTGACTACTGAAAGCTGTTCTATGATCTCCAATCTGTCACACACTCATCTGTGCCCCAACAGATGTCACTGAAATAATAATGTGGAAAGTAACTAAAGATGACACCCAGTGTCACCCCTCTGGCCTTGATATGAACACCATGCCCACAAGAGCATGTGCTTACACAAAAACATCACACAGAAAAGGCACCAAGAGACTAAAGGCAGACGTGTCCACCTGGGGATGGCTCAGATGAAACCCAGACAATATAGAGATAGCATTTTAACATGGCATCCAGAATAATGGACAGTTTAAAACTTTGCCCTTTAAAATTTCCTTATTTATGTTTTGGTTTTTGGAGACAGGGTTTCCCTGTTGCTCAGGCTGCCCTGGAACTCTGTAGACCAGGTTGTCCTCAAACTCACAGAGATCCACCTGCCTCTGTCTTCCGAGTTCTGGGATTAAAGGCATGAACTACTGCTGTCTGCCTATTATTAACCAGAGAATTCTGTTGTGCAGCCAGAATGACTTTACACTTATGATCTACCTGCCTCTATCTCCCTGGTACCAGGGTGATGACACCCATGGCTATGCCCATCTTCTGGTCCTGGTTTTATCCTTTTAAGACAGGGTCTCACCATATAGCCAGGCTCTCCTGAAATACACAGTGCAGATCAGGCTGGTACTGAACTTAGGGGGATCCTCCTGCCTCTGTTGCTCAAATGCTGGCATTAAAGGTAAAAGCTTTTTTTTTTTTGGTTTTTCAAGTAAGGGTTTCTCTGTGGATTTGGAGCCTTCCTGGAACTCACTCTGTAGACCAGGCTGGCTTCAAACTCAAGAGATTCCCCTGCCTCTGCCTTCCAAATGTGGGGATTAAAGGTGTGTGCCACCAATACCTGGCCATTAAAAGGCTTTTTAAACTATTTGTTTGGAGGTATTTGGAGGTACATGTCCTGGCCTTAGTTCTTTACTCACTAAGCCATCTTGCTAATTTATCTTTTTTTAAGGCATGGTCCAATCATAAGCTTCACTTCAGCTCACTATGTAGCCAAGTATGGTCTTCAATTTAAGATCCTATATCACATTCCAGTGCTGGGATGATTAGACATGTGCTACCAAGCCCAGCAAACATGGTAATGGTGGCCCTACTTGGACTACTATATGACAGCTGATGCTCTATCAATTTTTTTTTTTTTCTTGAGACAGGATTTATATAGCCAGGCCAGTCTAAAATACTGTCTTTCTGCCTCAGCCTCCAAACGGTTGGAGTCACACATCTGCTGAGTTGTAGGTGTAGCCACCATCTTTCAGTAATGACTTGTAACCACCAGCCCAGGTAGGCCTCTGTCCCAGACACCCATAATTATAGACTTACCTGGTTCCAGGTAGCAAAGTTGACTTTATCAGCTGCATTAAAAGCCATTATGTTGTACTTCTTGGTTGTGTTCCTAGAATGGGCAAGAGACAATTCAGTCTATTGGTCATTCATTCAACAAATCCACCATTACACCCTTGGTTGTAGGTACTCCTGGGAACTCATAAAAGCAGTGGTTCTCAACCTTCCTAAAGCTGTACCCTTTAAAAGTTCCTCATGTTGGGGTGACCTCAAACCATACAATTACTTTTGTTGCTACTTCCTAACTGTAATTTTGCTACTTTTATTAATCATAATGTAAATATCTATGTTTTCCAATGGTCCTAGGTGACGCCTGTGAAAGGGTCATTTGAATCTAAGGGATTGCTACCCACAGGGTAAGACCACTGCTCCAGAGTTTCCTGGTTTGTTTAAGAAGCTGGATCCCCTTCCCCCCCAAAAAAAAAAAATCTCTTCCAACCCTATTAGAAGTTAGCCAGACCCACAGGCACCAGACATGCTCTCAGTGCAGTGCACATCTATACATGCAGACAAAACATTCATACACATAAAGATAATAAAACTAAGAAAAAGTGGGCTGAGAGACAGTGGTGGCACACTCCTTTAATCCCCCCACTTGGAAGGCAGAGGCAGGCAGATCTCTGTGTGTTCTAGGCCAGCCTGGTCTACAGTGCAAGTTCCAGGACAGGCTCCAAAGCCACAGAGAGACCCTGTCTCAGGAAAAAGAGGAGAGCAAGCAGGCAAGAGTTGGAGGTGGGTGGGTCTTGGTAGGTTCAAGGCCAGCCTGGTCAAACCAGCTATACAGTAAGACCTGTCTTCAAAATAAAAGAGGGCTGGGTATGCCTTAAAGGTGGAGCACTTGCCTAGCATTCACCAAAGTTTGGGATTTTTTTTTCTTTTTCCCAGACAAAAGTTTCTCTGTTTAACCCTGGCTGATCTGGAGCTTACTCTGTAGACCAGGCTGGCTTCGAACTCTGAGATCCACCTGCCTCTGCCTCCCAAGTGCTGGGATTAAAGGCAGCCACCATGTCTGACCTAAGTCTCTGAAAATAGGACAAAGTCATCGACCCTGACATTAACTAAGTTGCTGTAACTTGCACGGGAAGCAGTCCAGCCGGGAAAGCACCACAGAGCAGAGGAGTGTGTGGTGTGGGTGACTTACTTGGGGACTCGGACGACATACTCGGTGACGTTCTGGCTGCCGGGTCCCTGCAGAGGGAGCACGGGTCTGTGAGGCGAGGAGAGGCCGCGGATCTGTCCTGCGACCCCCACCCTCCATCCTTGCCTCATTCATACTCACTAGAGCCGCCATGGCCGTTGCTCAAGCAGTTCCTGGTCAGCCTGACCCGGATGCTCTTCGTGGTATCCCTCGGTCCCGGGGAAGAAACCTTGGCCGGGTATCACGTTAGTATGATCCTGTGTTTTGGATCTCCAAACACTTAAGTCTCAAAAAACCTAACTCTCTGCGTGCGTCACAGTCTGACCCGGAACTAGAACTGCCACATCTGGATGGCAGCTACCTCAGTACCTAGCTTAGGTCGCCTCCAGTCTCTGAGGGAAAAGAAGCCGCCTTCTGCCAGCGTTCTCTTCTACAGCACGAATGATTTAATCACGGCGCGTGGGCACGCCCCTCAGGACGTCACGGCGCCGGCACCGCGGTGCATCCTGGGCAGGCTGGGAATGGAGCCTTCTGGCGGGTGCAGCCTCGGCACTCTTGCGCATGCGTTAACGTGCTCAAGAAGCGGGTGCGGAGGCTGGGTTGCCATAGCAACCGAGGCCGGGAAGACTCTCGGGGCTCCTCCGGATGGGCCTGGGATTCCGTTTTCTCTGTGTCCTGGTGCCTGGGGAATCCCGGGCATCTTGCAAAATGAGCCCCTTGTGACGTAGAGCGGAGCCGATGGGTCAGGGCAGGGTGGAGACTGGGCCTCTCGTACCCCAGCATGCGGACGAGATGGGTCTGTGCGAGTCCACGCTGCCCCAGATGGGCAGAGCTTTAAGGCCCCAGGAGAAGGGTAATGTCGTGGAGTGGTTGGCTTACAGGGTTAACGAACGGGGCGAGGGAGAAGGTATCCCCACTATGAGGGTGTGCACACACTAACACGGCAGGAACGCAGCTGCACATGCATTCTCCCCACCATTGGTTGTTGCCTGTCAGTCTCCGAAAATGGAAATTACAACTCTAGAGGAAGGACTCAGAGAAAGGGGGCCTAAGGGATGCATAGGAGTTGGTTAAGCAGAAGGCCAAGAGAGCAACAAACATCGAACCATGAACTACTGACTCCACAGTTAGGTCTCCTTCAAGGGCCATGCGCCCTGGGTTACAGAGGTTGGGTAGCAGGACCAAAGCTAATTGAAAGGAAGAAAGAACCATGGCTGACTATGGAAGACTTGGGGGTCTGAGGCAGGGAAAGGAAAGGGCTGGGATGCTTTACCCCAACGCGGGGGAGGTGTGACTAGAAATACAAGCAGGCAGGATAGACAGAACCACTGCATGCTGAACTAAGCAGGGTTAGTTTGAGAGCCTCTCCCTTTCATTTTCTGTAAAATGGGGTGATGGAGTTACTGGGGTGCTCCAAGACGGTCTGTGCAAAGGGCTCAAGAGAATCTTAGCACAGGGATCCTTCCATTCGAGATCAGGGCACCCTAAAGACACACACTAGTACCCACTATCTTCCCTGAACACCACAGATGCCCTGAAGTCCCCCCTGATCATCTTCGTAGTGGGCGGCCCCGGCTGCGGGAAAGGGACACAGTGCAGAAACATGGCCAGCAAGTACGGCTTCTGCCACGTGGGGCTGGGCCAGCTGCTGCGGGAGGAGGCTCAGAGGAGCACCCAGCGGGGCCGGCAGATCCGGGACATCATGCAGCAGGGACTCCTGGTGCCCACGGTGAGAGTTGAAGGGAAAGGGGGACAAAGCAGGACAGAAGGCTGTGACATGGGACCAGTTAAAGGCACCTGTGGCTCTGGCCCAGGACCACATGGTGGCTCCCAGTACCCACATGGTGGCTCATAACTTTCTGTAACTCATTCCAGGGGACCTGACATGCTCCTCTAGGTTCTGAGTGCCCTGCACACATGCACAGACATTCATGTAAGCAAACATTCATACAAATGAAACTATATATCTTTTTAAAAGCCACAATGAGGGCTGTGGGGGAGGTCTGGTGGTAGAGCACTCACCTAGTATACACCAAGTCCTGGGTCCCACCCAAGCACTCCAGAAAATGGGTAAACACTGGGCAACACATCAGAGATGGAGTCAGGATGATGAGGAGTTTGGTGGTACCCATGACTACATAGAGAGTTCATGCCAGGGGTCAGAGAGATGGCACTGTCATGGTTCAGCCAAGCTTGACAACCTAACTCAATGCCTGGGACCTTTGTGATGGAAGGAGAGAACCAATTGCTATAGGTTTTCTTCGGACACCCCCCACCACCACCACCTCATGCTGTGGCACACACACCACCCCTCTGCAACTAGATAAATAAAGAGCTCTAATAAACTTTTATTTGTTTGCTTGTTTTCTTGAGACAGGGTTTCTTTGTGTAGCCCTGGCTGTCTTGGAACTCAATCTATAGACTAGACTGGCTTTGAACTCACAAAGATTCACCTACCTTCTGCCTCCTGAGTGCTGGGAATAAAGACACCACCACTGCCCAAAAAAATGTAAGGATATTTATTTATTTATTTATTTATTTATTTATTTAAGACATTTGGTTTTGAAGTCTGTCCTGGAACTCAAAACTATAGACCAGGTTGGCCTCAAACAGAGATCTGCTTGCCTCTGCCTCCCGAGTGCAGGGATTAAAAGCTTGTGCCACCACCACCCAGCCAAAATCTAACAAACTTTTAAGAGGTGGTGGTGCACTCCTTTAATTCCAGTATTGGGAAGGGAGAGGCAGTCATATCTCTGTGAGTTGAAGGCCAGCCTGGTCTATGAGTTCTAAGACAGCCAAGGCTGCACAGAGAGACACTATCTCCTAAAAACAAAAATGAAAAGACTGCAAGCAGAAAGGAAGCCAGTGACTCAGACTCAGAGTTTTGTTTCTGTCTCACATAAAGTCCAAACTGAATGACCTTCATAGCACCTGGTCTCTCTGAGGTAGCAGGTCCTGGGCTGTCTTGAGTCCATGCCCTTTCATTCTCAGGGTTTCATTCTGGACATGGTCAATGACAACCTGTTGGCTCATCCAAAGAGCCGAGGCTTCCTCATCGATGGCTTCCCCAGAGAACTGGAACAGGCCAAAGAGTTTGAGCGGATTGTAAGTGCCCCAGCCCCACAGCATCCTTGGGTGTGTGTGCCTGCATGGGAGTTCTATGCTACCCTTCTTCCCCCTACCCTTAAAGCCCTAGTGGATGATGAGGGGGGCCCTGAAGCTGGGATGCCTTCCTTCAGCTCTTATAGCCTAGGCTGCTCTCAAACTCTTTTTGTGTTTTGTTTTCTTTTTTGTTTGTTTTGGTTTGGTTTTTGATACAGTGTTTCTCTGTGTAGCTTTGGAGCTCATCCTGGCACTCACTTTGTAGCCCAGGTTGGCCTCAAACTCAAACATCTGCCTACCTCTGCCTCCTGAGTGCTGGGATTAAAGGTGTGCACCACCACAGCCCGGTTTGGTCTCAAACTCTTAACTAGGACAGTCTTAACCTTCCTGCCTCTGTTTTTGGAGTGTCAGGATGGCAGGTCTGTGCTACCATACTTGGTTTATGTGCCAAGGATGGAACCCAGGGCTGCAAGATAGGTGAGCCTTCTGCCCCACCCCCTCAGCATGCTCACAGTAAGAGAAGGCTGCATAGAGGCACAGGCCTGTGACTTCAGCACTGGGAACCTATAAGGCAGGAAGATTATGATTTCCAGGCCAGCCTGAGCTATATGTAGAGTTCAGCTGTCTGAAAAACAAAAACAAACAAACAAACACAAAAACAGGGTTGGAAAGATGGCTCAGTGGTTAAGAGCACTGATTGCTCTTCCAGAGGTCCCAAGTTCAATTCCCAGTAACTAACTACATGGTGGCTCAAACCATTATAGGATCTGATGCCCTTTTCTGGCATGCAGATCACTCATACATAAAATATGAATAAAAATAACAGAAAAGCAAACAAACAATAAAAATTGAATGAAACAGACCTGCAGAGGGCTCAGCAGTTGAGAGCACTGACTGCTCATTAGTTCAGTTCCTAGCACCTACATGGTGGCTCACAACCACCTGTAACTCGTTTTAGGGGATCAGATGCCCTCTTCTGGCCCCTACAGACTTCTGTGTGTATATGGTACACATAAACTCACCCAGGCAAAAGTGTACATGCATAGATTTGTTTGTTTTGTTTTTCGAGACAGGATTTCTTTGTGTAACCCTGGCTGTCCTAGAACTTGCTTTGTAGACCAGGCTGGACTTGAACTTAGATATCCACCAGCCTCTGCTTCCTGAGTTCTGAGGTTAAAAGTGTGTACCACCACGGTCCAGCTCATACACATTAAAAAAAAAAATTAACCTTAAAGAAAACCCAAAAAACTAAGGTGGGGGAACAACGGTGGCAAGTACTATTGGCCTCTATACTCACAAATACATGTAGATGCTGATGATGCGAGCCAATGGAAGATTCATGCATTGTGTTGCCAAGGGGTTCAGGAAGCATTCCCACTGCTGTTGCCATGGGGACATGTAGGCCCAATGTTACTAAACCAGTGGTTTTATGAGAAGCTGGGAGCTTAGATGCAGAATTAGAACCCCTCCCACCTTGTTTAAATATCAGTCACAGATTATTATTTTTTTTTTTCCAGACAGGGTCTCTCTGTGACTTTGGAGTCTTCCTGGAACTCACTCTGTGGACAAGGCTGGCTTTGAACTCACAGAGATCCACCTGCCTCTTCTCCTGAGTGCTGGGATTAAAGATGTGTGCCACCAATGCCTGGTGTGTAACCCAAAGGGAACTGTGGGCTGGGAGTCAGGATGGAGCAGCCTCAGTCCTCAGAGTGTCTCATGTAGCCCAACTCTTTTAAGTACCTAAGGATGACCTCGATGTTGATGTCCATGCCTCCACTTCCACAGTACTAGGATGACAGTGACACAGCATTGTCTGGCTGGCTTGTATTTGTTTTTGCTGTTTCTAGAGACATTGTCTCTACAGCCAGGAATCCCCTGCAATCCTCTTCCCTAGGCCCACTCAACACTAGGACACAGGCATGCATCATCACAGCAAGCTGTTGGCTGGACAGGTAATTAGTTAATTCCTTTTTAAAAAGACATTTAAATTTATGCATATGAGTGTTTTGCTTGCACATATATATGTTCACTACAGATAAGCCTGGCTGGCCTGCTTTGAGGTCTAGGTATGAAGATAATGTCGGATCCCCTGGAACAGGACTTAGACTGGTTGTGAGTCAACGTGTGGATGCTGGGAATCAAACCAGGTCCTCTCCAAAACAAGTACTCTTCTTCCACTGAGCCCTAACTATGAATACACTCTATGATGCACACACAGAATAAATCTTTGTCTTAAAGACTTGAAGAATGAAGCCTGGTGGTGTTTTAACATCTGTAAAATCCCCAAGTGAGGGGTTGAGATATGACTAGGGTGGATCCCCTGCCTAGAACCCCCAGTGAGGAGCTGGGGGCATGGTCTGGGCAGCATGTGACCTCACTGCCTACAGGGACTGGGCAGAGAGAACCTTCACCCATTACATATTTGTCTTATACACTACACATGCAATGACCACCACTACAATTCAAGCCTTGGGTTGGTTGGGGCTGGGCTTGGAGGGCAGAGCATTGGCTTCCCATATCTGAAGCACTGGGCTCCATCCCCAGGCCCTATGTACTGTCAGCAAAAATGTGTGGACGATAAGAGGCTTTGGTGGTGTTCCTGTCGCCACAGAAAGAAACCAGGCATGGTGGTACACACGTGTCATCCCAGCCCTGGACTGAGGGGGTGGAAGCAGGACAATTGGGGTTCAGGGTTATCCTGGGCTACATAGGGAGTTAAAGGCCAACCAAGGCTTCATGAGACCCTGTCTATTCAAAGAAAATGGAAATAAACAAATAACAGGGCCAGGTGAGGTAGCACACAAGTTTAACCCCAGCAACTGGGAAACAGAGGCAGGTGGATCAGAATTTGAGGAAAGCCTGGTCTACAATCTACAATGTTAGTTCCAGGACTATATAGTTAGACCCTATCTAGAAAGAACAAAAAAAAAAAAAAAAAAAAAAAAAAAAAAAAAAAAAAAACAAAGCAAAACAAACAAAAACCGGCTTTGTGGTATCAGCACTCAGGGGGCAGATGCAAGAGGAATGTAAATTCAAGGCCAGCTTTGGGTATATATACATGACCTACATGACCTTGGGGATATCCATGACCCTGCTTCAAAATAAAAAAAAGTGAAAAAGAACATACCCAGCATGGCTGTTGATGCCTGTGATTTCATCACCTGGTGTTGGAGGCAGGAGTTCCATGTCAGCTATGTGACATGAAACCCTGTCTCCAAAAGCAAACCAAAGGGTATAGGATATGGCTCAGTCCTCAAAACGCTAGCCTTGCAAGTGTGTGGCCCTGAGTTGCATGCCCAGAGCCCACATAAAAACCGGGTGTGGTGTATATGCTTGATCTTAGCTCTTGAAAGGGTAGACAGGTGCACCCCTGGGGCTCACTGGCCAGCGAGAGACCATAGGCTGCAGAGATGGCTCAGCAGTCAAGAGTGCTTATTGAACCAGGCATGGCAGCATTTACCTTCAATCCTGGCCCTGGGGAGGCAGAGGCAGGCAGGTTTCTGGAAGTTCAAGGCCCTGTGTAAACCAGGTTGGCCTCCAACCCAGAGATCCACCTGCCTCTGCCTTCTGTGTGAGTGCTGGGATTAAAAGCGTGTGTCACTATGCTAGGCTCCAAAATGTTTAAGAGTATATTGCTGTTAGCAAAGGACTGGTGTTCAGTTTGTATCAGTCTTTAGCAACCCTATAGGCTACTCATTACCACTCCTACTCCAACCAATTCCAAGGGACCTGATGCTCTGACATCCAAAAGCACTGCATTTACAACACACACACACACACTCTCTCTCTGTGGCATCCAAAAGCACTGCATTTACAACACACACACTCTCTCTGTCTCTCCAAGTTGTCACTTTTCTCAGTAGCGTGGTGTCTACCCAGGCTCATGGCCTCTTGAGAATCTGTGCAAGACCCTTTCCTCATCCTGTTCTTTTGGCTTACTGCCTAGGTGGGCAGGGATCCCAGCATAGTTATGGTGTTTGACTGCTCCATGGAGACCATGGTGCGGAGAGTGTTGCAACGTGGACAGGTGGAACACCGAGCAGACGATTCAGAGGTGACCATCCACAAGCGCTTAGAGACACACTACACCCTGTGTGAGCCTGTCCTGACCTTCTACCAGCAAAAGAACCTCCTGCGAAATGTAGGTACCTAGAAAGGAGTCCCATTTAGCCAGCCTGGGCCTGCCACTTTCCCTTTGTATTGAGGGGATTCTATTTCGTTAGGGCAGCAGAGGCTGAAGCCTCATGTAGCCCAGGTTGGCCTAGAACTCAAATAATCCTTCCATAGCCTCCTGAGCACTGATAGATGTGAGCAACACTGGGTGTGCTTGCAGTTCCTGAAAGCTAGAGGGGCCCCTAATGCTGCCACTTGTATAGCCATGAGGCACTGGTGGCACTCACACATCTGGCTCAGCACATGCTGGGGTGGAGTTAGATAAGGGACTTTGGTGGTATCCTCATCCCTGGGAGAAACAAGCATGGGAAACTGCCTTCTCCTGCTCCCCGGACCCATGGGGTGGGGGAGGGGTCTCTATTTCCCAACACCCATTGCTGCCACCCAGGCTGCAAACATGCTCACATTAGGGCTTGCCTCAAAGGGGTTACAGGAATATAGCTCTTGCCATGGGATGCACCCTTGACTCCATGGCTTCCTTTCCCCTAGATCTTGGCTGAAGAAGCCCCTGAGATCATTTTTGCCAAGTGCTGCTTGGTCATTGAGAGTCTGCAGTGAGGCAGGGAGGGGCTGATGTCTGGCCTACCCCATTTTCCACAGTACACAGGACCAAGGCCTGTGAGGTGAGACCTTGGAACCCAATACAGCCAGAGGGTAATTTCATCTGAGGTGTTAGCTGTCACTGCATCATGTGGATCTTGCTCATTTTTGTAGAGTGCCATGATTTGCAGGTAGTCTGAGGGCAGCTTTGAGTGGGTTCTTTTGACCCTGATGCTGTGGTCCATAAGATCCCCCCTGCATCTGGTTGGGATTACTGAAGAGCCACTGCACCTGACTTTGGAACCAGCACTTTGACCTGCAATGCCACCTCCCTGGCCTTGACTAATTGACCCAGGCTTGACCTCTACTCCCCACTCAATGTTAGACAGACACACACACACAGACCTGTGCCCCAATGGGATGCTTCCACAAGGCAGCCTTAGTGACAAGTGTGGTCACATCCATGGGAACATGAGCCCCGGGGAGCCTCCTCAGTGCCTGGTTCCCCAGGTCCCAGAAGGAAAAGAGTGCAGATGGCTAGGCAGACTCCCCAAAAGGAAGGGGACTACATTGCACTCCATGTCCTCTTACCCTACTCACCCTGCTTCCTCTACATGCACAGCCAGTGCGTACTGAAAAGGGAAGTTAGGAAAACTCACACCTGCCAACTGTGTCCTAAAAACCAAGACAAAGCTCTCATAGCAGGATGCTGCTCACCTCCAGTCACCATCACCAGGGTTATGTTCACAACATCTACAAAGGTCATCTGCTTCAGAAGCCTACTTGAAGGGCGGGAGACAGACAGCAATCAGCAAAGACACGGGGAGGTTTTGTTACCATTTATTTGTGAAGTTAAAAACGAGCGATAAAAAGTAAAAACTGCCATACAATTTTTTTTGTTTTGTTCTCATTTTTTTCTCAGTTTATCTCATCTTCAACAGATGACAACGTACCAGGCCAGTCCTGGGGGTTGGGGTGGGTACAGGGTGGAACCAGGGAAGAGCAGGGGAGAGGGGAAGAAGGGGAGACAGATAGATGGGCAGGGCAGGAGGGGCCTGCCACACCCACACCTGGTCCAAGGAATGTTCCAACTCTAACTAAAAAAACGAAAAAGAGATAGCAAGAGTGACTGTTTCTTTCCTTTTAAAAAGTTTATTTAAAAACAAGAATAGGGCCCCGGGCAGTAGGGAGAAAGTGAACCGCTTCCCTCAGAGGGGTAGGCTCAGAGGCTGGGGGATAGAGATTTATATATTTCTATATATATATCATTTTATAGGTTTTGTTCTGCTCTTTGTGATTTAATTTTTAAACTTTTTTTGGCAGAGGTTAAATTCTCGCTATTTTCTAAGGCTGGCTCGACATGAAGGATCCCGATTTTGGAAGGAAAAAGATGTGAGACACACAGAATGAGAGAGGGAACGCCTCAGCATGAGGGGGAACCCTGCACCCCGGGCGGCCGTTGCTCTCTCACCAAACCAATCAAATATAGAAACCAATAAAAGCCCCCAATGGAACAAAAATGGAGGAAAAAAACATTTTTCACAGATGAAGTTCATATCCATTTGCTTCAATTGCCTGCGGAGAGGGAGAGAGGAATGGTCATGGCAGGAGGGCGGCTGGGCTGCAAGAGGCTGCGACTCCAGGCAGCAGGCCAGGAGGCCGGGGCCCAAGCCTGCACAGGCCAGGCAGGGGACTGTGACTGTCCATCTTGGGGACTCCACAGAAGTCAGACTGCTCCTTGGTGGAGGAGAAGCAGAAGGAAGAGGAGGAGGGGTCTGCAGCAGAAGAAGCCAGAGGCATGGAAGGAGCACAGGGGAGAAGTGCCAGGGTGGGGAGGGGAGAGGAGGGGCAGGAGGGAGGCGGCGGCTCGGCGTCACAACATTCAGATCATGGTGTCCCCACAACACCCCTGTGAGGTAGGTTGGAAGGTGGCAACGATCGTCATGCCCACTTCACAGACAAGACCGGGACACAGAGGCAAGTGCACAAGAGGTGGCCTTGCCAGGCAGGGAGGGCCCAGTCCCCTCAGTGGGCTCCTCTCCATCCCAGCAGAGCCAGGGCCGCCTGCAACATGTAGTTACTTGGACATGGGGGTAAAGATGGTGGTTTTAAAAAAATAAAACAATAAAAAAGAACAAAACCCAAATAGTGATGCTGAGAAGGGGGAAAAAAATACACATTTTCTTCCCAAGTGGCCAGATTTTGAGCGAGCAGGTTCAGCAACTGGCATGGCGCCCAGCACAGTCCCCACTTCCTGCCCCCACCCGGGACACCCCAGCAGTTCAGAGTTCCACCTTTTCGGCTGGTGCCCCCAGCGCCCGACAACGTTGCACCAACAGCGGCTGCCGGAGGAGCCTCTTCCGTGAGCCTCTGCACCCAGCAGGTGCTTCCCAGCGGCAGGGCTGCGGGGCTCCGGGAGACTCTGGCCACGCGCCCGAGGCTGGCTTGCATCAAGGGCACACCCCGCAGGGGAAAGGGTTTCCGGCGCTACCCACTAAGGCAGGATGGACGGTGGCCGGGGGTTGGAAGGAGAAAGGAGGAGGAGGAGGGTGGCAGTTCCCACTTGCCTGCTGCTGTCCCTGCTGGGTGGGAGGTGGCTGCGGGCCACCAGGGCCTGGGGTCTGTCCGTAGTAAGCGGCCTGCTGTCTGTAATACTCAGCCCAGGCAGCACTGTAGTCAGGCTGGGAGCCAGGGGGTGCTCCAGGACCGCCACCAGTGGCCACTTGCGCTGTGGGCAGAGAGGACAGTGAGTGGTTGGCAGAAGAACCCACCTGTAGCCCCACCCCTGACCCCACCCAGAAGTTCACCTTGCTTCTTGTAGTATTCCTCCCAGGCCTTGGTGTAGTCCTGCTGTGGGGGTGCTCCAGGCTGCTGGGGCTGCTGGCCTGAGGAACAGGGTATCAGGGCAGCTGGACAATTTGTGGGATACCCCACTGCTCCCTGGCATCAAACTTACCTATTTTCTTGTAATACTCTTCCCAGGCCTTGGTGTAGTCCGACTGGCCAGTGGGTGGAGGTTGGGGGGGCTCCCCCTGCGCAGGTGGAGCTGCGGGAGCTGGGGCAGGACCTGGCACAGGACCTGGGGGTTGCTGGTAGTAATGGGAGTAGTAGGCGGCCCAGGCAGCATTGGGGTCTGCAGCTGCTGCGGCAGCTTTGTCTGTAGGAAGACATGTCAATTAAGGAAGGCACAGATACTGGCTCGGTACCCCTCAAATTTCCTATGTGGTGCGACACTTACTTGGGTCATGAGGGGCAGGCGGTTGCCACTGGGGGTAGGTATTGCCCCATCCCTGAGGCGGGTACTGGTGAGGAGGGGGACCACCGGCACTGCAGGGGAGAGAGGTGGTCATGAGAGCTGGCTCAAGAGTATGAAAACAGGAGCCCCTCCCAACATCAAAATCTGGGGCTGATAAACACAGGATGGAGACCAAGGTCAAAGGCAGTAGAGTCTCTTACAGCACTTGTCACACAGGCTGAACAGATAGCCCCTCCTGTGCTTGAGGCGTAGGGCTGAGACAGGACCTGCCCCTCCTGTGCCAGGCCCCATAAACCCACACACAATCCAATAAGCCAAGGAATACTCACTGTGGGGGTGCTCCCGGAGGCCCCTGGTTGAAGGGTCCAGGGTTGAAAGGTCCCATGGGTCCAGTAGGGCCTGGTCCTCCAGGGCCTGGTCCAACTGGGCAGAGAGGACCCTGGGGGAAAAAGCGGCAGCTGTGGTGAGCTGACCAAGGGGGAGGGGGCACCTTCACCAGCACCCCATAGAACACACCTCAATCTTCTCCTCAATGAGCTGCTTTGCATGGTCAATCTGCTGGGGTGAGCCCCGGATGACGAACAACTTGAAGTTGGGGTCCCCATTGGGCGGCAGTTGCCGAGATATCTCCACAAAGGCGCCCGTCTGCTGATTAATGGCCTTCACGTTCTCACCACCTGTGGGATCACAGCTAGTGAAGGCCTGGCAAGTGCAGAACCAGGCAGGGGAAGGGCAGAGCCTCAGGGACTCACCTCGGCCAATGACCAGTCCACACTTGTGGGTCGGAATGGAGAAGGTCATCTCCCCTCCAGGAGGGCCCCAGTTCCCTTGGCCTCGGCCTCGGCCCCTGCCCCCAGGAGGCATGCCAGGGGCCCCTGGAGGACCTGGGGGTCCACTCCTAAGGCTCTGGAGGAGGTCATTGATGATCCGGGCTGCATGCTCACACCGATCTGGGGGCCCCATGATGTGAGCAATCTTCTCAGGGCCTGTCCCGTCATCTGACATTCACACCAAGAAATGGTTACTCACTTAAAGTCAAGCTCCCTGACTGAACCCCTGTTACAGACCAGTTCCCTTGACTTGCTGTTGCCATGCATCTGGGCTAGCAGGCAGCCCGTTTCCCAGAACATGCCCCCACAGCGTGAGTGTCCTCCCTTTGGGGTCGATAGAACTAGCTAAGCTTGGGCAAACAACGGGTTTCTGAAAAGCAACTGACAGGAACTGGACGTCAGCTTTCTGCAGGCCCTTGGTGCAACGGGGCAGTGGCAGGGGCAATGCCACTGCCTAGGCCAAGATGGTGCCCACCCCTGACCTTGTTTGAACTGGATGCGCACACCAGCGTCATTCTGGATTTTTTTGATCATCTCTCCACTCCGGCCAATGACCACACCAACCGAATGCCGGGGTACAGGAACCTGGGAGACCAGGAGACACAGGGTCACCCAGTGCACCTTTAGCTCTGCCCTGCACCTGCTGCCCACCTCTCTGTAGTGCCTACACTCACATCAATGCCTCCACCAACTCGAGATCCATACTCATTGCGGTCCCCAAAGCCGCCCTGGTCACGTTCTCGAAGGATGTCCATCACCATCTCACAGGCTTGCTGTTAACACACATTGGACAGTGGGCATAGGCCAAGTGTACTGCTCAGCACCCTCCTCCTAGAACCTACATCCCTTAGAAAACACCCCAGGAAAACAGGCCAAAGGGCTAAGGGAGAGGCTGCTGCTAACCGTAGTCAGGCAAGACCCCAGGGCAGGTCTGACACTGGAGCCTTCTGGAGACCATAATGTTAGGGCACTTACCTGTACTTTGTATGGATCTCCGATGATCCTCAGTGGCTTGTCCACATTTGTATTCTGAGAGC